TACGAACTCTGGTAATGTAACAAGCTGAAATCGCACGAAAGAGAAGAAAGAGCTGGAATCGCACGATTTCCAGTTGTTGTAAGCAAGATAACATTCAAGTAACATAGTGAATATGAGGTGTGTTCTTTTGACATAAATGATTGAATAGAACACGTGTTGCTTGAAAAATAATCTGCACAACAAAAACAAAATTCGCAAAAATAAGCCCACTTTCCTGAAACTGCTTAACGAATAAGTCACTCACATTGCGATAGGACTTTACGGCAAAAAACAGCAAGTTGCTGGCCTATTCTGGCCGAAATATACGCAAAACAATAATACAATTTTCTTTACCTCGGCCAGTATAGGAATACTGGCCAATACTGGCCAAATGTTACCAACACAATAAGCGAACTATTGTGAAGCTTCATTAGAAATTTCAACAATATTGCAATCTAATGTCAAAAATTATATGTAAACAAAAATTCAAATAAAATTCAAAAATTTCATAAATATGAAGATGTGGGAAAAAGGAAAATTTTATTTTATTTATTTTGAAATTTTCAACATTTTTCCCATTCCTCTTAATTTTGTATTCATTTGAATTTTCAATCTATGTTAATTATTTATTTTTATACAAAACATAATTTGCTTGCGATATGTTACTTTTGCTATTTGTCAAAACATAACACTTGACAGATTGCAACAGTGATGCGTAGCCAATATAGGCGAGCATTTTTTGCATTTTTTGCCATACTTGGGAGCCACCGAAAAGACCTAATGTTGCGAAATCTTAAAACTGATATATTGTGAATGATTTTTCGAAAAAAATGGAAAATTTTAATCAAATGATAGAGAAGTTTGTTTATTATTTATAACTGCGAATGTTCAATATACATTTAAATGTTTTAAAAAAGTAATTTTTTTAATATATGGTAATTGTGAATTCCTTTATTATTTATTAAGGAATTTATCATTTCGGTATTATGGTATAGGTATAGGTTGGAGTGGCGGCCTTGTATCCCAAAAAGCCCACTTAAGCACAAATAAAGGCCCGTTGTGGTTGTGTCGGTATTATGGTATGTTTATTAAAAAATTTAATACATGAATAAATACAGAACACAATCATTATAATAAAAGCAAAAAGTTATAAGCGTATTACAAGAAATATAAAACAGTGTTACATACTGCTTATTTAGCATTAGCTAGTGATGTTAGAAGTTTGAAAATTAAATAACCGAACGTATTGACAATTTCGTATTGCCTTCTAAAAACGTGGAGCTATCAAAAATTTCAAATATTTGGTCAATGTGCCGCGCTCTTTGTATCCTCCTTATTTCACTATTTTTATCCGTTATCACGAACAAAGCCTAAAAAATATATATACTTTTATATACATAAATATATACAGCACTGATGGTGAATGGCAAGTTCCCAGACACCATTAGAAACGTGATGAGAGGTGCTCTCAAATGCGTCGAAAAATGGTGTAGGGAACAAGGCCTGGCCATCAATGCCACGAAATCAGACACTATCCTCTTCACGAGGAAGAGAAGTCTGTCAATGGAGCCCTTACAACTTTTTGATAATAACATTCGCATATCAAAGTCGGTGAAGTATCTAGGTGTTATCCTAGATAATAAACTGACTTGGAATGAACATGTGGATGAAAAGATCAGGAAAGCGAAAAGAGCTCTATTTCAATGTAAGAGAGTGTGCGGAAGACGATGGGGGATATCCCCAAAATCGATGCACTGGATCTATACCATGATGGTCAGACCTATTATAACATATGCGTCAGTTGTCTGGTGGTGTAAAGTCACCCAAAAGACAATAAAGACGAAGTTAGATAGAGTCCAGCGACTAGCCTGTGTTGGAATAACAGGCGCTATGCGAACTACACCAACACCGGCATTAGAGGCGATGCTAGGCTTGCTTCCGTTGGATTTACATATAAAGAAAACGGCGGCACTGGCAGCAATTCGCATGAACCGGAGCTCCACGTGGAACAACTTCGGAAAATTAGTGGGCCATCGTAAGATTCTTGATCTCGTCCAGGCCGCGGTCAAGGAAACGCAGATGCCATTGGAGACTATGAGGAGGGTTTATGGGGCAGAAGTGTCCTACAGAACACTGATAGTAGACGGCCTTCTACATAATGAATGTGGAAGGAATGACATTTGCATATTTACCGATGGCCCCTTAATGGATGGCAGAGCTGGTGCTGGGGTTTACTCGAAAGAGCTAAATCTAACGTGCACTCTACATCTAGGAATATATGTTTCCGTCTATCAAGCGGAACTTATGGCGGTCTCTCATGCTCTGGATCACCTATTGGATTGTCAGGTATATCAGAAAAAGATTCTGATAGCGCTGGACAACCAAGCAGTTATCAAAAGCATGCAAAAGACATACATAACTAACAGCTTAGTACAAGAATGTGTAACGAAGCTCATGGAATGTGCTCATGGAAATGAGATGACGATCATGTGGGTTAAAGGACACATCGGTATTGAGCAAAACGAGAAGGCAGATGAACTTGCAAAGCAAGGATCAAGCAATAATTTCTGTGGCCCGGAGCCCAGAATACCATTGGGGTACAGCATGACGGCAGCCTATGTCAATAAGTGGATAATCTCACTTCATCTTAATAGATGGAGAGAGTTGAGCACTTGTAGACAGACCAAACTCATGTTACCTAAACCGTGGGCCAGGGAACCGATAAAAGTGCTTAGCTATTCGCGGAGCACTCTAAGCTGGCTGACCTCACTAATTACTGGACATGGCAACTTCAAGTATCACCTCAAAAAGATAACTCTTGCTGAGGAAGACACTTGCAGACTATGTCTAGAAGAAAAGGAGACAGCGGTGCATATATTGTGCCAATGTCTAGCACTGGCAAGTAGGAGGAAGACTGTCTTGGGACACCATTGGGTTGGTGACGACTTGGCAGGAAACCTCAAGCTAAATGAGATGCTTGCATTAACAAAAGATGTAGTTATGCGAACCGAAGCCACTCCAGCTTTAACTCAATAACAACATCCGAGAATCGAAGGACGAAAAAGGACCCAAGTCGTTTCGTGGTCTACTTCGACTAATCCTTCACTTCAGTGGGGCCACTTGTTGGACAGTGCGCTGTCCCAATGTCCCACCATATAAATATACATAAATACAAATAGAATATAAAATGTTCACCAATAAATTTTTTGTCATTCATTTTATAAACATTTGTTTTATCAAACAAACAAATTCATCAAACACAAATTTGTTTAAAATTTTTTTACTTGTCATATGTTCATTGATTTTTGCAGTGAAGCCAAGTTTTTCTTACACAATCTGACGTTATTCTATTGGAACATTTATGCCAAAAGAATACGTCCATTGTTGTTGACACTATAATAAGCTTTTTCTTTTGTAAGCATATTATAAAAAAATAACTGCTTATTTCAAAAATAATAAGTGGTTTTTTGAAACCACTTAACTATTAAAATAACTAGACGAAAAATTCGTCTAATGTGAACGGTTATGTCAACAAATATTTGACAAATAATACTCAATTCTTTTTAATTTACTACTTTTTTCTGTTAACATTGAAAACGCCTGAAAATACAAATTTTGTTCGCAATCACTTAAAAAAAAAATATTTTTAGTCATAACTGCAAGATATTATTATTCATTTTCAAAACTTTCACTTTAAATTTTTTTTCGTGTTTTACATATATAAACCTAACAAAATATCCAGTCCTTCCAGAGTTGCCATCAAAGGTAGTAATTATTTTATGTCGATCTTTTGCGATATGCTTACAAAAGAAGAGCCCTAATGTGAGCAATTCGCTGCACATCCTTGTTGCACATTAACCAGTATACACATAAAGCGAAAAAATATGCTATTAGCACAATTTGTATACCAATTGTGTATGCTTTGTATGCCTTTCACGTTTTTGGTACTTTTTGGCGCCTTTCTGGACAGTAACATTATTTGAACATCATCGTGTGGTTTTCATTGTCGCTGTATGCTTTTACAAAAATTGAGAAATTGAGAAATTACCTAACTTATACGGCATTTACACTGGCCGAAAATGGCTCAGTTTGGTCAAAAATCGAAAATGAGAAGCGTATGGCTCATTCTTGCATACAAGATTTCAAGCGCGAATGAGTCATTCCATCACATTCTGTATGAATGAGTCCGAACGACGTTCGCATGCGTTCGAAATATGTTCCAAATACAAAAAAATACATTGAACACACCCTAAATAAAAGCTCTTCATGGCATTTTGACAGTTTGAGAAAGCTGTTTCTAATATATTTACAAAAAAAGGCAAACAAATGTTTGATGGTTGCATTTTCTTGAAAATCATGCACTGCTTTTTAGAACTTCTACTTCCCAAAAAGTAATTAATCGAAGTTAAAAATATGTTTTAAGTTTATATTGTAAGGTTTGAAGGCATATTTAACTTTCATGCAACATTTTTTTGGCACAGGCCAAAAATCAAATCCACAGGCAAGTTGAAAAATCAGCTGTTTGAAATGAGAACAAACGAATTATAACGAATGTAAACACTCGTAAACAAAATGAGCCATTTTCGGCCAATGTAAACACCATATTAAATTCTGCTTATCAAATATTTAAAATAATTTGGAATTGTTGTTATGTAAAGTACTCTTTATACAATAAATATTAATTGCCTGGTAACTCTGGCCTTAAGTCAGAGAACTGTCATTTTTCTGTATTCCTTTTATTCATTATTATATTAAATAAAGTGAAGTAAAAACTTGTCGAAATCATCGGATCGTGTGTATCATTTTTTGCTCAAATATATAATAGGAATTATCAAAAGAGTTTGCAATGAAACTATTTGCAAAATTTAAAAATTACTTGAAAATTATGTCATAAACTTATGTCGTACGTTTTTAAAGAGAACTATGGTGTATTATTTAATAAAATAATTAAAGAGAAAGATAATAAATTGTTAAACTCTTCAGAACTGATTTAAATTTATATTGCAATAAAAAATAATATATAATTTTACTCTTCTACTCTCTTCTCTTCTATTTCCATTTCATCAACCCACTTTTTAGATATTATTTTAAATGTGGTTGTGCAATCTTCTTCAATCTCGATATTAGTAGGTAATAAACTCTATACTAATTTATAAATGTCATATAAAATATAATAAGACATATGCTTAGTAAAATTTTAATTCAATTTATAAAAATTTTCTATCTCACTTGTGGAGGGTCCGGCAACCCTTTGGTTAATGTACGGAAATCAGCATAAGCACCCGGCGCTTCTTCTTGCGGTCGGCCTGGTGTTGGTTGTCCTCCTGGAGCACGTAAGTGTTTTGCTCGTACAGTAACACGATATTGTGTACTTGGTGATAACCCTGTGATGGTATGTCGATAAACTCCCGGCTTTACGGTACGTACTTCAACATTATTTACACAAACGACATGTTGGTGGTTCGAATTTGCCGGCAGCCATGATATAACTGCTGATGAGCACGTAATATGAGATGCACGTACAGCAGACGGCCCCAAATGCGCAGTATCACGACCAATGATCATAGTACAAGCTGCATCACGTGATGTTTGACGATTCTGTGTTACACTTCTTACACTTATTCGATGTGGCTAAAAACAAGACTTTTAATCTCTACACTTAAATAGCATTACATTCACAAACCCTATTGGAATCGACACCTTCAATTAGTGCTCGTGTTCTCTCATTAGCTTTAACCGTAACCTTCAAAACTCCGTCTACATAAACATGATAGCTATCGATTAAATTATATCCAACTGGCTCAGGTGGTGACCAGCCGATCAAAACACTCTTATTAAGTTGACGCTCTAGAGTCAAATGTTTTGGCGCTGGAACTATTAAAATAATATTTTTAAAAAATTTTAATGAAAAATATAAATTTTTAGATGAAAATGCTACAAAACAAACAAACCATTATCACTTATATCATCTTGATCATGTTCAAGATCTGTGTGTGTCTCACTCAGTCGAGCTAAATCTTCATGAGTATGCGTAAGTAATGGATTATGTGGAGGTAACGAAGGTAAAGATGTAGTATCACATTGCATAGAACCATCTTCGGCATCTCGTAGTGTAGACAATACTGCCTGATGGAATTCTAAAAGATCATCACCTGAAACATAAAAATGTTGCAAGGCATAGTAAGGTTTTATTTACAAGTATATAAACAATATTTTACCAATCAAACGCTGAACAAAAGATGCTGGTAC